ACCCTTTCTCCTAGTTAAGAAAAAACAGATATTAAAGTTCTTTATCTTTGTAAATGATGTATTAGTTGGGCTTGATTAGTTGGTGATATAACAAATTTTAGTTGTAATATTTTTTGGGCCTAATATATAGCCTTCTTCTTCTAATAATATTATGCAAGATTAATTTACTCTCTAGCCTCAATATGGTATCAGAGCACACGTGGGTTTTTCAGAGAGTATTTTGGTAATTTCTTCTCCACGATTGACGGTTCTTTTTCCTTTTCCTTTTCTCGCCTTTTGCTTCGTTTACATCAATGGCGGACGATTTCATCAATCTGACTGCATCCACGTCTACTATTATCGCTCTGATTGCAATCGAGCAATATACCAACCCTTATTTCTTGCATCACTCTGATAATACAAGCCTTGTTCTTGTATCTGATCCTTTGACAAACGAGAATTATACATCATGGAGTAGATCGATGTTGATTGCTCTCACGGTGAAGAACAAAGTTGGTTTTGTTGACGGATCTATCGTTCGGCCTACTGGAGATCTTCTTCACTCTTGGATCATCTGCAACAACGTTGTAATTTCTTGGATCTTGAACTCTCTGTCAAAAGAAATCTCTGCAAGCATTTTATTTTCTGATTCGGCCCGTGAAATTTGGCTCGATTTGAAAGAGCGTTTTGAGAAACAGAACCGCCCTCGCATCTTTCAATTACGTAGAGATCTGTCCAATTTGGTGCAAGATCAACTTTCTGTAAGTGCTTATTTCACTCTTTTAAAAACACTATGGACAGAACTCAACTCTTATAGCCCCTCTTGCACTTTTGGTCGCTGTTCGTGTGGTGGTGTGAAGGAGATTATTGCTTTTCAGCAACAAGAACACGTTATGTGTTTTCTTATGGGGCTGAATGAATCTTTCAGTCAATTGCGGGTACAATTACTCCTTATGGAGCCTGAACCAACTATCAATCGAGTCTTCTCCTTGGTTTCTCAAGAGGCTCAACAGCGTGCCATCCTCACTTCTACATCTCCGCAAACTTTGCCTACTGCTCTCATGGCTCGGAGTTCTTCCTCCTCTGGTTTTTCTAAGTCGGTTTCTAATTCTTCTTCATATTCCAGACAAGCCTTTTTGCACACATTGCGGTCTCACTGGCCACACCGTTGATAGGTGTTACAAGTTGCACGGGTATCCCCCTGGATACCGCACTTCGAGCTTTCGCAACAATTCTTCTCAAAATAAGTCTGCTACTGATTCCTCGAAGACGATTGATTCTTCTACCTCTTCGAATCTTCCTGATTCGTTGACGTCTCTTAGTGTTGATAAGTGTTAAGGGCTATTATCCCTTCTTCAATCTCATTTGACCAAGGTTAATTCTGGTCCCACGGCAGATTCTGTTCAATCTCATGTTGCAGGTATTTGTTTTGATTCYTCATCAGCGTCTTTTTTACACACTCGTTGGGTTGTTGATTCGGGTGCCTCGGCTCACATATGTTTTAATCGGGAATTGTTTACTACACCTACATCGGCTTCTGGAGTTAGACTCTCTCTACCAAATTAGTCCAGTATTACAGTTGATTTTATTGGGGATATTCGATTAAATTTTGATTTCTTGCTCACCAATGTGTTGTTTGTACCATCGTTCAGATACAATCTGCTTTATGTCAGTGCCTTGACAGCTGATTCTTCTGTTTCTGTTCTATTTGCTGATAATTGTTGTATTCTTCAGGACAAGTCCTCTTCGAAGATGATTGGCAAAGCTGAATCTTGGCACGGTCTTTATCTCCTTTCTGTTGAGCTGTATGCTGCTCTTACTATAGTTGTTTGTAATTCTGCTTATCATACTTGGCACAATAGACTTGGTCATCCTTCACCCAAGCATCTTTTTGCTTTAAAAAATGTCTTGCATATTGATTCAGTTTCTAAGCATGATTCTGATTTTCCTTGTGAAATATTTCCTTTGGCCAAACAGAAAAGACTTCGTTTTGAGTCTCACAATAATATTTCAGTCTATTCTTTCGATCTAATACATTGTGATGTTTGGGGTCCTTTCTCTTCCTTAAGTCATGCTAGTTGCAAGTACTTTTTGACGATTATGGATGATTTTTCTCGCTACACATGGACATTTTTAATGAAATAGAAATCTGATGCTTTGGTGATTGTTCCTCGTTTTTTTAAGCTATTTGAAACACAATTTGGAAAAGTTACTAAGTGTTTCCGTTCGGATAATGCACCCGAATTGTCCTTTACTGAATTTTTTCACTCTAAAGGTGTTGTGCATCAATTTTCTTGTGTTGGTCGCCCTGAACAGAACTCAGTAGTTGAGCGCAAACACCAACACTTACTTAATGTGGCTCGTTCTCTATTTTTTCAGTCTCGTGTGCCCATTACTTTTTAGGGGGAATGTGTCCTTACTGCCTCTTTCTTAATCAATCGAACCCCTTCCCTTGTTCTTCATTGGTTGACTCCATTTGCTAAGCTATATGGGAAAAGTGTTGATTATTCATCATTGAAAGTTTTTGGGTGTCTTTGCTTTGCCTCAACGTCACCAGCACATCGCTCCAAGTTTCATCCCTGGGCCATTCCTTCTGTCTTTGTTGGTTATCCCTCTGGCATGAAGGGATATCGTCTATTTGATATCGAAAATAACAGATTTTTTATATCTCGGGATGTTGTCTTTCATGAAAGGGTATTTTCCTCATACTTTGCCTCTCAGTGCTACAGATTTATTTTCTGATATTGTTTTACCTCGGGCTGCTGCTTATTCTGGGATTTCTGTTTATGAGCCTACTGTTTCTAATAGCATTGGTATGACTGATCCACTTATGCCTCCTAGTTTCGATGTTGATTCTATTGGGTCTCCTATTGTTGTTGGTTCTGATTCTTCAGGTGTTAATATTTTACACACTGATGGTGTGGTTGATGTTGTTGATACACCATTTGTTGCTCATGATGGTGCTACTTCTGATTTCGTTCATGATGTTTCTTCTGATAATGTCGATACTCTTATTTCTGTTCGAGCATCGGTGGTGGCACCTCGTCGCTCTAGTAGGCCAACTCGCAAGCCCTCTTATTTACAGGATTATCACTGTGGCCTTATTAAATCAAATGTCTCTCCTGTTTCATCAGTACAATATCTTTTGCATAAACATTTGGTATATGACTGGCTTTGTTCTAATTACAGAGGTTTTGTTCTCAATGTTTCAGCTACCTACGAACCTCAGTTCTACCATCAGGCAGTATCCTTTTCTCATTGGCGTGATGCAATGCGTGATGAGCTTCAGGCCATGGAATCTAATTATACTTGGTCAGTTGTCCCTCTTACCTCTGGTCAACATTCTATAGGTTGTAAATGGGTTTATAAAATCAAGTATAAATCTGATGGTACTATTGATCGGTATAAAGCAAGATTAGTTGCTAAGGGGTATACTTAGCAAGAAGGATTAGATTATATCGAAACTTTTTCTCCTGTGGCAAAAATGGTAACTGTTAAAGTCTTGCTTACTCTTGTTATATCCATGAATTGGCCTTTAATTCAGCTTGACGTCAACAATGCTTTCTTGCATGGAGATTTATTTGAGGAAGTATATATGGATTTGCCTCTTGGATACAAACATGCTAAGGTTGATTCTAAGGGGGAGCGTTTTATTTGTCGCCTACATAAATCCATTTATGGTCTTAAGCAGGCCTCTCGACAATGGTTTGATAAGTTTTCTCAGTCTCTTATTCTTCTTGTTTTACTCAAACCAAATCAAATTACTCATTGTTTGTTCGAGGTTCTGGCTCTAGTTTTGTTGCACTTCTTGTTTATATAGACGATATAATCATTACTGGTGCTTCTTCCACTATTATTGATAGCTTGAAGTTACATCTTAACCATGTTTTTAAGCTGAAAGATTTGAGATCATTGAGATATTTTTTAGGCCTTGAGTTAGCCCGGCCGTCTATTGGTCTTTTCTTGTCTCAACGCCATTATACACTTCAGCTATTAGAGGACACTGGATTTTTGGCTTTAAAGCCTTATTCTCTTCCTTTGGATCCTTACTTGAAGCTCTCTGCTACGGATGGGATTTTGTTGGATGATCCATCTGAGTATCGACGGCTTATTGGGCGTTTATTATATCTTACTATTACCCATCCTGATGTAACTTTTGCTGTTCACAAACTGAGCCAATTTGTGGCTGTTCCTCGATCTTCTCATCTCAGTGCTATCCACTCTTTGCTTCGATACTTAAAAGGTTGTCCTGGCCAGGGTGTGTTATTGAAACCTTCTACATCTTTCCAGCTTCGTGCCTTTGCTGATGCGGATTAGGCGTCTTGTTTGGACTCTCGTAAGTCTACTACAGGTTTTTGCATTTTTTTGGGTGATTCTCTTATTTCGTGGAAAGCCAAGAAGCCAAAATACTGTGTCTCGTTCCTCTACTGAGTCAGAATATCGTGCCCTCGCCACTACTGTTAGTGAACTTGTGTGGATTTCTTATCTTTTGAAGGAATTGCAGCTTACTGTGTCTTCTCCAGCTCTTATTTTTTGTGATAATCAGGAGGCGATTCATATTGCCTCGAATCCATCTTTTCATGAGCGCACGAAGCACATCGAATTGGATTGTCACTTTATTCGTGACAAAATTGTTGCTGGCGTAGTGAAGCTTCTGCCCATCCGAACTGATATGCAATTGACTGACATTTTTACGAAGGCTCTTTCTTTACCTTCTCTATCTGCTTTACTATCCAAGATGGGAGTTTGTAATCCCTTCCATCTTGAGGGGGAGTATTAGAGTTCTTTATCCTTGTAAATGATGTATTAGTTGGGCCTGATTAGTTGGTGATATAACAGATTTTAGTTGTAATGTTTTCTGGGCCTATATATATGGCCTTCTTCTTCTGATAATATTATGCAAGATTAATTTACTCTCTAGCCTCAATAACAGAGAAGCAGGAAGAGAGAAACTCAAAAAGAAGAAGAAGAAGAATGAGAGAAAAATAGTGTTGCAGAAGAGAGAAAAGAGAAGAAAATAAAGTAAGGAAGAGAAAGAATGAATTAATGGAAAACAAGAGAGAGAAAATCTCGAAAATGAGAGCGAAAAAAATATGGAAAAAGAGAGGGAGGGAAATAGGGTGAGTGAAAAAAATTCTGGAAAAAAATGGAGGGAATAAGAGAGAAATCTAAAAAAAAAAAATGAGTGAAATTAATTTGGTATCAAAGATGATGCCAACAAATATTAGAAAATATATGTTTTGAAAAAGTTAGGTAAAAACAAGTACTACGGGCTATTTAACCCAAAATCCGAAGCTTTTTTGGGTTTCATCTTCCTCTCTCACTGTTTTTTCTTTTCCATCGTAGAAGGAACAAACTCAAATTTAGCATTAAACAAACTAGTAAGCTCAAAATGTAATATAATAATCAAGAAAACAAGCAGTAATTTAAGAACGTTACATGTTTTTCGGATACACTAACAAAAGGAATAAAATTTGATCAATTAGTGCTTTTGGAGAAATAGGAAATCCTCGAAAACTCTTTTCATTACTCCATTTTTCAAAGTTTGTTTTTTTTATTAGAAGGATAATAATATATTTATTTTATTTTTAATTAAAGTCGTATTTTTAATAATGGGGCTTAATTTAATAAATTAATACAAATATAAACAAATTTAACACCTGCGAAGGGGCTAATTTCATAAATAATGTAATTTAAAAAATAAATTACAAATTTAAGGTAGATTACAAACTAAAATTAAAAAAATATAAATAAAATAATATAAATCCGAAATAGGGTACATTCCAAAACTATTAATAAAATTAAGATGGTTATGGTCAAAGTCAAAACTCATGAACAACGTACACGAGTTTCACGTGTCCACTTAAATCTAATGTGGCAAGTGGAGGGTCAGTTGAACTAATAAATCGTGTATGTTGTAAGTGATTTGAGGGAACTCGTGTACAAAGTACACAATTTACCTGGAAAATATGTACATTGTACACGATTTGAGGGAACTCGTGTACAATGTACATGTTTTTCAGGTTACACGAGTTTCCTCTAACACGTTTTCACCCACATATATATATATATATATGTATTATTCTCCTTCTAAATTTTTTATACCAGTTGCGATTTATCTTGATTTGTCTTTTCTTTTTGTGCAAAAATTTTGAAATTTTTTCTTAGTCTTTTGTCGTCGGTTGAATTGTGAACTAAATTCATGTACCACATTATAATAAAAATTAACTTACATGATAAACTAATTTATGTTGGCTTTACGAGTTTAAATCATACCATATATTTTAATGATAACAAACTTAATCTACTGATGATTTTAATATTTCAAAGTGTTCATAATGTAGAGTTTGAAAAGAAGAATCCGACGCAATTTGAGTTGCTCAAATCGGAATTCAGATGCAGAAGTTATGATCGAAACAAGCTGAACGAAAAATACCCGATATGATAACGTGGACGAATTTGATGCTGACACATGACGAGCTGAATTATTAAAAAAAACACACACAATGACAGAAAGAGAAAAGAAAAGAAAATGAAAAGAAAAGAAAGAAAATGAAAGAAAAAGAAATTAAAAAAATAGAAGTTACCATTTGAAAAAAAATGGAGAAATTTTGAAGTAGTCCAGTTATTTATCTATATCTATACTATATTAAAAATGGAGCATCTTGGAAAAACATTTTTGGACTATTCTACCCAATTATCGATTTTTAATTTACCAAGAATGTCATCTCTTATTTTTAATAACTTTAACTAATAAAAACATAAAAGTTATGAATATGAAAAGCTTGAATATGAAAAGTTACGTATATTTACTCATAACAATTTATGATTTTACTTTAATTGAAATTAATAGAATTCAAAAGGTATTGGAATCTCAAAAGTTTTTCTAACTTATATTCATCATCTACATGTGTGTGTATATATATATACTTGATCAATTCTTTTAAATTTTATACATATAGATTTAGTAGCGTCATAGTGCACGATGGCGTAGCACGTTAGCGTCTCTATTTATAAGAGTTGCAGAATAATGTTGTTTATAAATAGAAGTCATTGAATCTTACAATTTGATCTCAAACATCAATGCGGGCAATTTCTGAGAAATTCAGGTATTAAATCATTCCTATAAATGTTATAAATTATTTTACAATTAATATTATTATGATTTTTTATTCTATGTAATATGGATTATTCAATACTTTCTCTCCTATTTGTAGGAAGGGAAAAAAAAAGAAAGAAAAAAAAATGTTATCTCCTACTAACATTAAACAATAATGTTATTATTTTTATTTGTTGAGTTTGATTTAAAGGAGATAGCATATTTGTAGTAATTGTTAAATTAAAAGTAGTTAAAAAATAATATTCTATTATGCATAGGAATATTGTGTGCATTGATTTATAAATGTGTTAAATTAAAACTCTAAAGTATTTTTCTATTCACAATTTTAAATTTATTATAACTCATTAAAATTAATATAACAAATTAAAATTGGATTAAAAATAAATATTATAGAAATATTATAATATGATAATTTTTATTACAGTAATTATTATATTTATTTATTAAATACCCAAATATGATAAATAAAATTAACTTATAGATATAAATTTATGAGTATTTATTGTTTTAAAGAAAAATGGATAAGTTCTTAATGCTAAAAATTAAAAAGGGAGCATCTTGGAAAAACGTTTTTGGACTATTCTACCCACTTAACGATTTTTAATTTACTAAGAATGTCATATTTTATTTTTAATAACTTTAATTAATAAAAACATAAAAGTTATGAATATGAAAAAACTTGAATATGAAAAGTTACGTATATTTACTCTTAACAATTTATGGTTTTACTTTAACTGAAATTAATGGAATTCAAAAGTGATTGAAATCTCAAAAGTTTTTCAACTTATATCCATCCTCTACATGTATGATGTTATATATATATATATATATATATATATATATATATATRTGTGTATAAAAAGTTCCTCCATTCTTCTTCCCATCATAATTTAGCTCTCTTCCTTAGTTTAGGCTTCTTTTCATTTATTGATCAATTCTTTTAAATTTTATATATATAGATTTAGTAGCGTCATAGTACACAATGGCGTAGCACGTTGAGCGTCTCTATTTATAAAATTTGCAGAATAATATTTTTTTATAAGTAGAAGTTATTAAATCTTACAATTTTATCTCAAGCATCAATCAAATGTGAGCAATTTCTGAGAAATTCAGGTATTAAATCATTCCTATAAATGTTATAAATTATTTTACAACTAGTATTGTTGTGATTTTTTATTCTATGTAATATGGATTATTCAATCAACTTTCTGAAAGATTTGTAGATGAAAAAAAAAGTTTCCTACTAACATTAAGCAATAATGCTAATGTTTTAATCTGTTGAGTTTCATTTAAAGGAAATAGCATATTTTTAGTAATTGTTAAATTAAAAGTAGCTAAAAAATGATATTCTATTATGCATAGGAATATTTTGTGCATTGATTTATAAATGTGTTAAATTAAAACTCTAAAGTGTATTTCTATTCACAATTGTAAATTTATTACAACTCATTAAAATTAATATAACAAATTAAAAGTGGATTAAAAATAAATATTGTAGAAATATTATAATATAATAATTTTTATTACAGTAATTATTATATTTATTTATTAAATACCCAAATATAATAAGTAAAATTAACTTATAGATATAAATTTATGAGTATCTATTGTTTTAAAGAAAAATGTATAAGTTCTTAAAGAAAAATGTATAAGTTCTTAATGCTAAAAATTAATTAGGGAAAGAATCAATCATATTTTTATTAAGTAAAAAGGTAAATCAATTGAATAAATGAAAATTTAAGTGCACCTAATAAATGTATAGAATTAAAAAAAATTGGATATGAATATCATTTTACTTTCTTGAAAATATTTTATACTTTTTTCCTAAAATATAAAGTAAATTTTTCTTCCAACATTATTTCACCAACAAAAATTGAGTTATATAATTTTATTCATTTATAAACATTTCTTTTTAAGTTTTTTACTTTTGATACATTTTTTCAATAAATATTGATATTTTTATTAATGAAAAATTAAATAAAAAGAATATTAGATGCACTAGTATATATATTATATTATAATATAATGTAATCATTACTTTTTCAACATACGTGGCTCCAACTGTGCGTCGTTGGAGCCACATCAAAGACAACTCGAATGTATTGCATACAAGTTTATCGAATTTGCGTCCAATACTCTATCGTGTACGATTTAGCTACCCCACTTTTGAAATTAGTTTTTAAGACTACCTATTTTTGTTTTTTATTTTTTAAATTACATTATTTAAAACAAAAATGTCTGCAAAGTCTAAAAACTAGGATAGAGATCTCCATTAAATTTACTTTTTTAAAAGGGACAAATCACACATATGGACAAAAACGAGTAGTTTTAAAAATCAATGAGAAAATATTTTAAAAGAAAATTCAATAAGGAAACATATTACACTTAGGCCATGTTTACCTACCAGGAATCGGAATGAAAATCGAGTCTAATCAATCAGAATGAGAATTTTATTCCTTTGATGCTCTAAACTGGAAATTTTCTAAAATCGGAATCGGAACTCCTTTGATGTTGTTTACTAAAATTGTTTGGAATCGGAATCGGAATCAGAATCAGAATCAGATCATTACTAGTATATCCTTGTCTTCTTTTTAGCTAATCACAAATACACTGTGGTGCTAATTTTTTTAATTACAATAATAATTTATTTTATTACTATATTATTGATAATAAATATTTTTTTTACAAAAACTATTTATTAATATTAATATTAATAAATAATAAATAATTAAAATAAAATTACATCTAAATATTTTATTTAAAGAAAATTGTTGATATAAATATTATTGATTTTTAAAAATATGCATTATTAAATTTTATTGTTAGGATATTAAATAATAATGAATTCCATTTTAACCATTTAATTTATATTAATTACAACTAAGTAAAATTAAATAGTTGATAAATCAAATAAAAATTTGTAGTATCTTATAGTAAAACTACATCGGTAACTTTTAATTCAATATCTATGATTTTGAACTCAAATCTCACACATTCTCTTGGTTTTATCTTAAGACCACGTTTGCTTATCTACAATCGTAATGGAAATCAATCGTAATGAAAATCAATCGGAATCATAATGTTATTCCATTGATATTGTTTACCAAAAATTTTCCGTAATCAGAATTCTTTTGATGTGTTGTTTACTAAAATTGTCTTGAATCGGAATCGGAATTAGATATATAACAATTACTAATATACTATTTTCTCCTTGTTAGCTAATTACAAATATATTATTGTGCTAATCTTTTTTATTAATTTAATTTATTACTATATTATTGATAGTAAATATTTTTTTTATTATAACATATCTAATATTAATACATAATAAATAATTAAAACAAAATACATCAAATAAAATATTTTTTTATTAGAAGAACAAAACTTTAATCTAACATATTATTAAGTTTTATTATTATAATATTTAAAAGTAATGATATCTATTTAAAAATTTTGTTGATATTAAATTAATATTAGTTTATCATATTATATAATAAATCACATCAACTAATAAAAATTGGAGTATAAATGGATAAGAAATTATAAAACTATCAAACAAACTAACTAAAAATTATATAGATCTAATCTATAGATGAGAGATAAATGGTAAAAGTGGTACATTAATTATATTATTATATGTGAGGTTTACAATGAGAATGAGATTGACGGAGTTGTAGGAATGTAATGAGATTACACATTTTTATGTAATGAGATTTGTTTGAGGTGGGTCTCACCATTTGATAACATTCCTACAACTTAGTAAACACCATCAAAAGGAATCAAAGTTTTCATTACGATTCATTAATTACCAGGTAAGTAAATGAGGCCTAAGGTTATCTTTACTTCAAGGGAATGAGAATGAATAAATGGAAATCAATTTTTTTTTATTATATTTGATGATGTTTACCAAATTGTTGGAATTAGAATCAAATGGTGGGATCCACTCACTTTTTTCATTTTCATTCCCTGGAAAGGACAATTCTATTCTTCTCGAACACCCTAGTCATGCATTTTCATTCTTTATTCCGTGGGCCCCACATATTTATTGCAATCACTTTTCTATTTTTTATTTTCTCTCTCTCATGATTGATTAGACCCGTAACTTTTTATTTAATTGTTTTATATTTTATATTTTTTTCATTTATACTACTAATAATTTTTCTTTTAGTAAAAATTTATCATTTTTATTTTTATTTAAGTTGTTAAGATAAAAAACTATTTTTATTTAAATAATAAATTCAGAATAAATTATTAAAATTTCTTATTAGTTATTATTTTCTAATTAAAAAATTATATATTTTAGAAATGAACCACGAATAAAATGGTGATATATTTATTATTATTATTATTATTTTTATGAAAGAAAGGGTGAGATATTAAAACCTTGGACCTCAAGAAAGATTAGTCGGGGTCTTGTCTATTGGACTAAGCTTGAATTGTTGTTAAAAAAAATTTAAAAATTGCATTAAGATTATATTAATATTTTTATGAATAAGGCCAAGTTAGAGACATGTGTCAAACTCAAATAGTCCGATCTGACTAGACTATATCAGATCGAATTGGTCTACTTGAACCAACTCGAAGGATACCCTTTTTATGAATAAGAGAGAGGTCTCTAGACGTATTCGTACCTTTTGGCATAGTAACTCAAATCGAAATCCTACATCAGAATATAATAACATCACAATTATAATATTTAGTAGATGTATTTTTAATTGGATGGAAATAAATATAATAACACTATAATTTTTTTTTTTGAAACACAAATATTATTTATTTCATGAGCGCATCAACATAGAAAAAGATATATACGTGAATGTAGAAATCCGAATCCAATATGGAAAATATATAATGTTTAGTAGATGCATTTTTAATTGGCTAGAAATAAATATATTATTATTGATAATCTTTCACGAGTGCCGATATATATGTGAATTAATAATCCAAATAAAATATATATCTTAACCGGTTTAATTATAATCAAATTATTTGATTCATACATTTTTAATCGACTGAAAGTATTAGTAACATTTCCATCCCGATTAATTTGATCAGAAACTGTATGGAATTAAGGATGATTTCGTTGGGTAGGGCGGTGAAGGATGATCGGTTGATCACGTTATTTTTTTGTATTTAATTCTGTGGACTCGTACTCGCAATTGTGGCTCAGAGCGTTTGAACACAACACGCAGAGCCCATCCCGTTATCGTCTTTCCCAGCAATTTCCAACCTTTCTCGGAAAAGGAAATCGAAATTACGTAATCAGTAGGAGTTTCTGTGCAGAATAAGAACAGATTAAAATTAGCGACGACGGAAGGACCCCGAATCGAGAGGAAGAATTCTGAGTGTTCGAGGTAGAAGCCATGGCGATGCGCGAACTAGTTTCCGGAGGAGCTGCTTGTGCTGTTCCTGGGTCATCTTCTTCCTCTAACCCTCTTGGTGCTCTTGCCAACGTTCTAATTGGCTCCTCTTCCAAGACCCAGGTTTTGTTCTTCCCCCTGCCTCCTGATTTGGTTCGATGCTTCAATTCAATCATTGTTGCTACCTTTCATCTGGGGTTGGTTCAATTATGTTTCTAATACTTTGTTTTATATGTTAATTCATGAATTTGCTGCTGTCTAGTCTGGTGTAATCAGATTCTCGTTGTTTCCGCTTTTGTTCTTATCATCTTTCCGCTACCAAATTGGGTTTCCTGTTGGGTGTCACGAGGTAATTAGACAATTCATCTTACGTATGAACTATATTCTGAGCAGGAAAGGCTACGGGAAATTCCTACTTCGCAGCTCACAGGTCCTGACAGGCCTTTTCACCCTGAGAGCCATGAACAGCTTCCTGGGTCTGAGTTTGATCACCCACCGCTTCATCCTAATGAGCAGGTTCGCTTTGTTTGTTTTTTTATCTGTTGCTAATTTTCCGTTCAGAATTCACATGGAGTCTTGAACTACTTAACCATTGTTTCTATTCTGCGTCATGTCAGGCGGCAAAATTTTTCAGTGGCTTCCACTCGGCTGCCGATCAGAGTGGCATGGCCTCTGCGTGGAATGAGGTACAGGGTGGTCCTCCTCCCGCCCACTTGAGGGAAATGCAACCAAATCTTGCTGAATTTGATCGTATTTACGATCAAATCCCTGCTTCTCAGCATCAACCAATATTGGATGGTACTTCTGGGTTTCTTATTTATTCTTTAAAATTCTGGATGTGGCATATTTGGCAGTTTGATTGTCATTTGTGTTGCTGCCAAACCGTTTTGATTCAATTACGAGGACTCCTGGTATTGATAATAAAAGTTTAGTGCAGTAACATTCTTTTTTTGTTTAGTCTGGGTTCCCAATTCAGGACCTGAACTCAATTCCTTGAAACCAAAAGTAAATTAATGGCTCCAAGTTGCAGTTTAATGCATTTCAGAGAAGCTTTAGTTGGATTTGAGCTCCAGTATTTTTACCTGCAACGCTTGTCATCCATCAATTGACTTATGGAGATACCTGTATATACTAGTTGATGTAATATGTCCTCACTGTAGTTTGTTTAGTTGAAGAACTTCCAAATCATAGTCTTGAAACTCCAATTCCTTTACTAAAATCTACCAGAGTTTCCTGATCTGTGCTGTCTGCAAGTTAAAAATTCCATTTTAAATTTGGAGGCTAAAGCCAAATTAGAATTTGTATGCCAGTGGGTTGGTTCTGCCTGTGTAAACGTAAAGTATGCTTCGGACTATGCAGAATACTCAACCTTGACTGACTTGGTGGATTGGAAGATTCTTTTTAGTTCATCACAAAGTTATAAACTTTTAATAGTGACTATGTAACATCTGTTATTGTTAGAGCTTCAATTTCATACTCTTTCCAGTCTTCAGTAATTATTTTTGACTTCGCATTTACTGTAAACCAGGGCCACCACAAAGAGTACTATCAAGCTTTTTACACTCGTTTGTACAGAGTAGCCGTGGTGGAATTCCTTTCCATCCTACCCCTCTTCCTTTATTGGGACTATCTGAAGGTGATAAACAATGTATACGTGACCGTAGTAGCATTATGGCTCGACATTTTTTTGCAGATAAGAGTGAGGACTTCATAAATGCACAGGTTTGGAAAATTTCTGTGTTTAGTACCGATTCAGAAGAAAGCATGTTGTTAACTTTTTTATACCAAATTTGTAGACAGTATCCAAGCACTAGGTTAATTGCAATAGGATTTCACCATCTTCAGGTCACGTTGAATGTTTGGCTCTCATTTTTTCCCTTTT